TTTGTAATATATATATATATATATATATATATATATATATATATATGTGTGTGTGTGTGTGTGTGTGTGTTACGGTAAATTATGTTAAATGGATATTAACGTTATTCACCGGTTATTAACATTATTTACCAAATACATAGATAATTGATGTTATAAATCAGATATGCGCATGAATCTCAAATACTACAATTTGAAAAATTATGTAGGTAGGTACCCAGGTATTTTTAAAAATAGAAAAAATGCATTATTATTTTTTATTTATTTTTACAAGTTTTACTCCCATGACATTTAATATAACATAATTTTTCAGTCCCAAGGTAGGCATAATGCTTATTATTATTACAACTAGTCTTGCAATGACATCTCTGGTACCTTTGAGGGCCCGCAACCGAATTATTACTAGCTACTTCCCTCAGTGTCAACTGTCTACCATCTGCTTATTTTATCACATTGTCTATGTCTAATAGATTTTATTAGCAAATAGCTATTTCTTGGCATGTGAAATAGTATTTAAAAAAACTATATTCTGTATCTATAAAATAATAAAACAAATTTTAATTGTATTAGTATATTTTTTCATTAATAATTAATTTACAGAGTTTGTATAAGTCATGTTCAACTTAGGTGACAACTGCTAGTATATTTCGCATAGAATCACGATCCCTATCAACGTTCAGTATAAATTATAAATACACATACAGTTATGCCTATTTCAAGCTGAGGAAACTTATCTTTAGAAAGTTTCATCATTTCCTCTCCTTGTTTTTCTAATTTTTTTTTTTTTTTTTGATTATTTACATGCAATACAAATATTTTCTTGACAATCATCAAAAAAATATTTAAAATAATTTTTAAATATTTATATTTTAGTTTTATTTGTGTTATATTTAAAATTCCAAAAATTATCGTTAAATAATTAAAAATTATTTAAGTACCAAGTTCCGATTTTTTTTCTGTGATTTCTATGATTTAATTTCCGATTTTGTCTTCTTTGGTGATTGGTTCTTTGGTTATATTTTTAAATCTTCCGCAATGACCTCTTTTATTTTATAATCAGATCAAAATTTCCCAAATTATACGGTTATTAACGTTATTCACTAGAAAATAATGATAATTCCCACATTCGTAAGTAAATAACGTTAATAACTGGTGAATAATATATAACATCATTTTCTGTAATATATATATATATACATATATTAAAACGAATTTAATACAGAATCAAATTTTTCATATTTCATATTTATAGATTGATCGCCTACAAATTAAAACTTTAAGTATATATTATTTATAATTTAAAAAAATGTATTACAATTATTAATATGATAAATAATAATATTATATAATATAATATAGAAAATTTAATTAAAATTAATGTTCATATTGTGCTGTTATGTATCAGTTAAGCAAAATTATAAGCTCAAGAATATGATAACTAGTGTAGGTAAAATTGTTTCATAAATTGTTTAAATAATGATTTAATTATATTTAAACATGAAATGTATTTAGCGTACAGACTCATAGGTCTCATGCTATTTTTTATTCTACATTTTTAATTTTATATAAACGTATGAAAGTATTTATTTATCTATCATTATAAACATCTTATTGAGTAAAATTACAAATATTTTATAATTTCAAATCATATAAATTAAATTAACAACATAATTTCAAGTATAATTTATATAATTTAAATTTAATAAAAAATATTTGTAATATATTAAAATTATATTAATCTATTAATAATTCTCATTAAATTATATAAAATATTTAATTACCAAAATCACAGTTTTCGACTTAGTTGTAGAAAGCCAACATAATATGATTTATAAGACTATTAATATATATATATAATTTATTGTTTTAAATTGTATAGAAAGTAGCAGAGGTACTTTTATTAAAAGACG